CCAGCGCCAGGACAAGGGGCCATGGGCACAAACTGAAGCAGAAGAGGTGCCAGTTGAACGGAAGGAAGAACTTGTTGACTGTGAGGGTGACCGAGCCCTGGCCCAGGCCGCCCAGGGGGGCTGTGGAGTCTCCTTCTCTGGAGATCTTCAACCCCCGCCTGGATGAAGTCCTGTGTAACATGCACCCTGCTCTGGGTGAGCCTGCGGGGGGTGGGACTAGATGATCTCCTGAGGTCCCTTCCAACCCCTGCCATTCTGTGATTCTGTGATTCTATGAAAAGTTACTTGGGGGAAGAGAATAGATAATGAACTGGAGGCAGAGGCCAGGCTCCAGGACTGTAAACCTTATCTCTAGGAGAACAGAAAGCAAGCGTGAACTTGCAATAAACCAAGACTATTACCATGCACTAGACTTTACTTCCTCCCAACTCACAGATCCTTGAATTCAGTCACTTGCTGTACATATGCCCTTATGTTACCAGTAAAGTGTTGACACAGAGTTATTTGTTGACTGATAATAAAAAGACAAACAACCAAAAGCCCCAGGCTGGATGTGCCCATGTCTTTGACTCACCATCTTAACACACTGCAAGACCTCAAGGAATTGACAAGAAGGCTGGATATGTCAACCAACGATCTGCTTTAGCTGCAGCCAACTAGAGAGTCCTCCAAAAGCAATGTAGAAACACTGTGATGCAATTGTCACCCTGCCTCCTAGGACAGAATTCCCTGGGCTTTTAGTGTCTAGAAGTCCTAGGAAATGGCGGGATGAAACAGCCAGAGTGGGGCTCTGGGTCACGTCAGCAGAGCACAGACGGACTAGCCCAATTTCTGTGCATCAGTCTGGGGCGTGTTGATGCTGACTACTCTCATTCAGACAGAATGCAGATGCCAAGTACTCTCATCCAACACAACCAAATCACTCCTCCAAGGAAGATTTCTGTCCATCACTTAAGAAGACTCTACATTTCATAGAGAATTCCTTCTACAGCCCCTGCAGAAGAACACCCACCCACCCCACCATTTGCACCATAAAACCCCGCTGAGATCTACCATGCAGAGCCTCAACCATTTTTACAGAGAAGGCACCTCACAAGGACGCAGTTTCAGAAGGCGAAGAGCAGATCATGGGCTTTCTAACCAGGCCTGTACGCACACGCCAGAGAGAGCTTTGGCATCACAGCTCGAAGACAGACCCTCAAGGACAACTAGTAAAGGACACCAGCAGAACAGGTTGGGTTGCTCCAGACAGGGAAAATGGGATGAACTGGACTGCGTTTCTTGCCCTGTCCAGGCCTCATTCTGTCAGACAGGGGCTTGTTTAATTAACTCGTGAAAACCTCCAACAAGGAGTTTCCTGCTCGCTCGCTCTCTTACGAACCCACTTCACTACACTGAGAGGGAGCAAACCTGGAGGTTTGGCCTGCTTTACATCCCTTTCACAGCAATTTAAGCCCTTTATTTCTTGTTCTGCCTCCAGAGCCCAGCAGAAAAATTTATCTCTTCTTTTCTGCAGCCATTCTCCCCACATTTAAAGTCTTTTGTCTGCCCTCAGGCATCTCTAGACTAAACAGTTCTCATTCCTTTACCCTTTCCTCATAAATCCTGAGCAAATTTCTTCCAATTGCCTTTGTTATTCCTCACTAGACTGTCAGTCTGGTCACTGCCTTTTCCTATGACCCTGCTCCAGGACTTTGCTTGGTACAGGAAGACTCATCTTCAAGAGGGATTTTTTTCCCTCCAGACAACACCAAGACCCAAAGAAATAACCAGTGTTATCCCAATTTAGGGACCAAAGGTGAACAGGGCAAGAGAGGGGTACAGGAACTGAGCTGTCAGGAACAGGGGAATTTCTAAAGTGGATGAGAGCAAATGCTTAAGAGAAACTTGTGTGTAAAAAGCAGCTTTTCTTAGATATCTGCAATTGGACTTCTAGGATTTGCTGCTCAAAATCCCTTCTGGGGTTTAGACACCTAATGCAGCCTTTGAGTAGGGCTAAACGGCTCGCTTCTGTTTTGAGGTCTGGCTGGTGGACACGCAAGCCTAGTGTGTCTTGCAAGCATCTTGCAAGGAAAAGCAAGAAGCCAAATCCAAAGCTTTCTTCACCTCGAAGGGGCCCATCCCTCCTCACTCACTGAGGTTGCAGCAGAAACCAGGCAGGAAAGGCGGAGGTTAGAGCAATATCCTCGAGAGGGAAGACAACTTGCCAGGCAAGGTCTCTTCCTCCAGGAACTGCTTCTTGATTTTTCCAGCGATTGCTGAGTGATTGTGCAACCTTGTGTTAAGGTACCTGCAGCCTGGCATCCCACTTCAAAGCAAATATCCCTGCTGCTGGCTTAAAGAGTCAGGCTCTCTTTTGCACTCCCTCTTTCTCTAAACAACCCGGGATGCTGCTGGGTGGGAAGGAAGTAAAAGCAGGTTTTAACTGCTAGTTTCTAAAGCCTAGGCATGATTGAAGTGAACATAGTGTTGAATCGTCAGGGGATGCAGCTCCACACTGACTTACTATGATTGTAGAAACAGAACCGGTTCAATCATTACTTTTTTTCCAGTCAGCTCTAGCACTTTTGCCTTCACAGCTTGCTGACCAGCCCTGAAAACAAATCCAACAGACCATCACCTTTTCCCAAGCCATGCCAGCCTTCCTCCATCAGGGTGAGGGAGGTGACGCAGTGCTCGGACGTGCCCCAAACATCATCCCTCCTCTCTCTGCAACCTGGCAATTTGGCTTCGCTCCGAGAGCCACAAAGGACTCCTCGCCCTCACCACGTTGGCTTTGCAGCCGCGTGACGCTGCCGAAGATCACATTTCCAGATGGACGATGTTCCCTCGGCCCTGCCTGCCATCCCAGGGGACTCCTACCCAGCTCCTGCATGTCTTCTCCTTGGGATTTCAGCTGTTACTTGGATGAGGCGCTGGGATCAGAGAGCAGGGGTGGCGGGGATGCTTTAGGGCCAGACCGATGC